CCACCAGCTGGGCCAACTTCATGGCCTCCTCTAAATCACGAGGCATCAAAACCTTCATTGTTGCTCGGATCTCTGCCTTCAACCCCTTCATGAAGTTCATCTCCAATACCGTACCTAATAATCGCTCCACCCTACTGGCTAGGTGCTCAAACTGCTCTCAGTAGTCTGCTACTGATCCCTCCTGTGTCAGAGCAAAGAACTGCTCATAGAAATTTCCTCCTCGGTCAGTTTGGAAACGTTCTATTATGCAATCCTTGAATTCCCTCCAATCACTGATAGGCCTCCTCTGGTCTCTCCACTGGTACCATGACAGTGCCTTCTCCTCCAAACATAGGCCTGCTGCTGTCAGCTTCTCCTCCTCCATTAGCCCATTAACGACAAAGTACCTCTCCATCTTATAGATCCACCCATACGCATCCTCCCCCTCAAAGATAGGCATCTTCAACTTCCTTACCTTATGTTCTTCATCATTCCCCCTTATTCCTCCATAGCTTCCCCTCTCCCAAGTGCGTGGCCCACCCCACGTGTTCCGGTCTTCCCTGCCCTGCCATAGCCCAAACACCCTTCGAATTCCCCTCTTCTTCCTTTAAACTCAACACCTCGGCAACCATAATGTCCCTCCCGGCACTCCCAATTAGCACCCCTTTGCTCCATCCCTCCATTCTCATGCCTTTCCTCATACCTATCTCCTCTTCCTTCCTCTGGAAAGGCTCCATATAGGATTTTCTTCTTTCTCCCTCCAAGATGTCCACCTCATCTTCCTCCGTACGAATTTCAGAATTCGTGTTTTTTCCTTCCTCCCCTTTTGCCACGGAAGCTGCCGTTTGATTGTGAATTTCCAACATTTTCTTCATCATGTCCCAGAGATCGGCTACTTGTCCTTCCATGGAGGAATCCTTTCCTCCACCGTTGTCTTGATTTGGTTCATCTCCCCTTCAAGCCTTTCTTCTAGCGCATCAACTTTCTTGGCCGCCATCTCGATCCGAACTTTTGTAAATCCAAAAATTCCGGATTTGAATTACGAAAACCGCAACTCTGTCCCTTCTCGACCAAAAATCGGTCACCAAACTTCGCCAAAATCAACCCACGAACGGTCCTAAGACTTACTCTGATACCAATTTTATAGGGAACACTTGTAGATCTCAAGTATTTCCTATCAATCTTCGGAAAACAACGAGAAATCTTCACAAAAGTCCGCACAAAAACCACGAAAATAGCAGATAATTTGTATTATTTGATAAAAGGAAAACAGAAAATAGCAAGATACAATTGATCCTCAATTCGAGAGGAGGATCGATCTCTCCCAAATCTCTAGATGCCGCTAGAGCCCAAAGAAAAACTTCATTCTAAGAGGTCTCAAATTTCAGCCAAATTCAAGATACCCTAACTCTAGCAAAACTAATTATTTAATGCATACAAATCAAAAGGAAATTCCTAAACAGTTCCTACATTCAAGTTTCTCTCTCAAAACCCTCAAAAAAACCTTCTAAAAAGCTCCGCTTGGGCGGTCGGGCCGCCCGATCTCCGCAGGAGGCGGAGATCCCGCGTCAGTTTGCGAAATGCCGGTCCCATGCGGACCGGCTGGACCGGTCTAATAGAGTGTTATATGAATTCTATTGTAGATCAACAATGAAGTCATTATCATCCAAGTGAATTCATGAGAATAATATAATGCGCAATTCTATTAGGAAGGGCTAAGTGATGAATTATTATTTTAAAAATGATGTTGAGATTAGAATCCATTGATTATAAGATTGTAAATATTTACTCGATTGTTTGAGCATATAGAACATAAAGGAGATGTGATGGAGATCTTCATTTTTATTCTTGTCAGAAGCATTGCATAAATAAATATTTTGCTCATGTTTGTTTGATTATATCAGTTGTTATGTTATTTTATTTATTTTTTTAATTTCTGTAGTTTGGATTATACATGTGATGATGGTTATGAGATAGGGATATGTTTTCTATTTTCTAATAATTTTGTTCATAGATAATAACTGCTTCTCCGTTGGTTCAGATTTAAGAATTATTAATTTCACTGTATTAGTTGGGTGATGCTATTTGCCGTTTATGCTATTAAATGTTGCTACTTGTGAGCTTTAGGTGTGTTGCCTCTTGTGGGCTTCAATTGTGCTAATTGCTTGCATATTATCTCTTGTTCCTTTTTGGAGTTGTTCTTTCCTGCCTCTTGTGATTTTGTTTATTGTAGGTTTTCTATGCATGTTTGCCTGCATCACTATTTGTTGCCTTGACTTAGGCAATAATGATATGAGACGACGCCTACTTCTGTTTATAGAGAAGATGCCTGCTTCTCAACTTCTGTTCTTGAGAAAGTTAGCTTGTGCAGCTACTTAAGTTTTGTATTTTTGGATAAAATTTAGGAATGAATTTGATGGTTATTTGGAATTAAATTGTTTTTATTTCATGCTAATCATATCTACTAACTTAGAGCTGATAAGCCAATAAATAAATGATCCGAGGCATGTAATTTGATGTCTATTCTTTCAATTTCAGTCTTTTGTGTGTTAATTAGATGTGTGATTTTTTTTTCAAGGTGTTACAAGTGTGACTTTTTAATTTTGGGGGAAGTCATCTTGTGCCAACATGAGCTTAAATTTTTTTATTTTGGTAACTTCTTTTCTGGACTCTATTTTTTTATTTATTATTTATTATTTATTATTTTTTTCTGGACTCTATTTCTTCTGCACATTTTATTATTGACATTCCAATATAACTGGGATTATAATTGTGCTGATTAAATTACTATGTCTTGCTAATTGTGTGGTTTGGATTTCTTATTGTTTTCTTTGTATTTATTGGATAATTAATCATTTGGGTTTGGACTCTCACATTTTGTTTGCATTTAAATAAAGCAAGTTGTTGGCTTATTTAGTGTGTTGTGATATTTGAATCCTAAATTCTCTTCCTTTGTATTATTTTAGTTGTATTATGAAATCCATACCCTAAACTATCATACATCAAGTTGGTAGCAGACCTTTAGGTTACACTAACTTTTCACTTAGAAGCATTGCTTATTATAAGCATAATTTAAGATAAAAAATGATGTGATATTCACAATCTTTCAAAAGTAGTTGGTTGAATCGTTGAATAAATAAAATTAATTGTGTTATGACACTAATGTGCTTAAGGAACGAGTTGACACATAGGAAATTAATCATATTCATGCTCATAAACTTGAAGTAGATTTCATCCACAATGATGCACACATTTATCTGAATGTTAATTTTAGTAAGAGACATTAAAATCATCTTGATACATAATTTATGATGTTTAATAAGAATGCTTATGAAAGTCATATATTTCAAAATTTTAACATAGATGATCATCTTATTATAAAAGTCATAAATGTCTGCTTATGATGGAAAAAGTGTATTGGCTAAAGAAGATGGATAATATTATGTCAAAGAAAAATTAAAAAAATTTAGATCTTATCTGTAGTATTCCAAATCCTTGTGTAATTAGTTGTGAGATCGGATGAGCTCTCTAGGGGGAAGAAGATTGGGCAAAACAAAGTAAATAATAAACGAAAAGATAACTAGAGAACTCACTAAGAGATCTCAAGGGGAAGCACTCACCAAGAGAACTTCATGCACTCACAAAGAGAACAGAGCAAAGGAAAATTTTCATTCATTCAATAATAATTCCAAAATACAAAGACCTAGCCTTTATATAGGCTCAACAACATACGGAAAATAAAAGACTACAATGCCCTTGGGCAACAACAAACACTAATTCCCTTATAGGGGTACAAAAGGAAAAAAACAAGAAATATAAATGACATGAATACAATAAGACATCAAAAATAAAGACTCTGAATCAGGGCCGTCGATCGGCGCCTCCGGCGATGGTACACATGTCGAAATCTGATGCCCTCATCATTCTCCCTGGGTGGGAGAAAGCTTGACCCTGTTGGGTAAGGGTCCTGAGAACTCTCGTACAGCTCCAAAATGTCGGGATCCAGTCTCTGTATCTCATCTCGATCCAGCCACGTGTCCTCCGTCTCCGGCTTTCCTCTCCAACGCACTAAGTATCTTTGGCGACCGCCGTTCCTGGTGGAAATGATCTCGTCACTGAGTATGGTTTCAATCTTCTCCGTATTAGGTAATGGGGGAATTTTGGGAAGTGGAGGCAGGCTGGGGATCTCACAAGGTATGGACTCACAAGGCTCAAGATTTAGTGGATTTTCAGGGTTAAAATCAGGTCCATCAAAGGCTACTAGATCCTCTATGTTAAACGTGGGATTCATGTTGAAACCTTCGGGAAGGTCCAAGACATAGGCATTACTGTTTATTTTAGAAGTTATTTTAAAGGGACCTGCGCTCTTAGCATGAAGTTTCTTAACGGCCCCTGGAGGGAACCGCTCTGGACGAATCCGACATGACATAGTCTCCAACTTCGAACTCCTTGAAGCGTCTCTTAAGATCATCATTAAGTTTGTATTTATTGGATTATTAATCATTTGGGTTCGGACTCTCACATTTTGTTTGCATTTAAATAAAGCAAGTTGTTGGCTTATTTAGTGTGTTGTGATATTTGAATCCTAAATTCTCTTCCTTTGTATTATTTTAGTTGTATTATGAAATCCATACCCTAAACTATCATACATCAAGTTGGTAGCAGACCTTTAGGTTACACTAACTTTTCACTTAGAAGCATTGCTTATTATAAGCATAATTTAAGATAAAATATCTTTCAAAAGTAGTTGGTTGAATCGTTGAATAAATAAAATTAATTGTGTTATGACACTAATGTGCTTAAGGAACGAGTTGACACATAGGAAATTAATCATATTCATGCTCATAAACTTGAAGTAGATTTCAACCACAATGATGCACACATTTATCTGAATGTTAATTTTAGTAAGAGACATTAAAATCATCTTGATACATAATTTATGATGTTTAATAAGAATGCTTATGAAAGTCATATATATCAAAATTTTAACATAGATGATCATCTTATTATAAAAGTTATAAATGTCTGCTTATGATGGAAAAAGTGTATCGGCTAAAGAAGATGGAGAATATTATGTCAAAGAAAAATTAAAAAAATTTAGATCTTATCTGTAGCATCCCAAATCCTTGTGTAATTAGTTGTGAGATCCTGGAGCAAGCAGCTTTAAGTTTTTAATTCTTTAAGTTTTTAATTCTCTCTCTTAATTTAATGCTGGGAGTTGTCACCGTTGTCTTGAAATTATGATATTTGCAGAAAAGATTATGATATTTTTCTTTATTTTGGCAGGAGCGTAGTTTGAAAAAACAAAGAGAGGCAGCCCATGAAGAAGCTTTCCTTGCTCTTCAAGAATATGAATCTTCTTTGGGGAAACTTGAGGGTGATGAAGCAGGTCCATCATCACCTGGTAAAAGAAATGGTAGAAGAGTTTTTGTTGGAGCTAAATCACGGCCCATGACTTTTAGTACTGAAGAACCTGAAAATCATGATGATAATGACAGTGAAGGTGAGGTTGAGGTTAGAGAGGAAGAAAACGAACATAAAGTTGAAAATGGCCTATCCGAAGTGCTGATTGGACCTGCACTTGTTCCTGATGATGCAGAGACAGGTCAGGAAGTAATATTTAAGGTATTCCACTTTATACCTTTTATGACCTCTTTTCCTGATTCTTGATATTTGTTGCTTCTGATTGGAATTCTGAATTATTTGGGAGCAGGATTTTGATGATATTGTTAAAAACGCTGGGTCAAAGACAACCTACGAAGTTTCAATTTTTGCTTCTGACACATGGAGAAAGGTTTTTTTTTTTGCTATCATTTTGCAACTTCCTGCTTTTCTTTCATATGATTTGGTATCACTGCAAACAGATGGGAGGTAAAAACCCTTCGGACAATATCAAAGAGAAATCTGCAGTAGCTGATAATCTTGTTCTTTCGAGCCAGAATTCAGCGGTATTTATTATGGTTCTCTAGTTATTTTTTAATGGCATGTGTTATGAGTATGTGGCGTATCATATTACTCTGAATATTTTTATTTGAAGGGACAAGATAACAACAGTGATTCTGATTCGGACCTGGAGATGGTGGATGGGTTCTTATCTTCTCACCCTAAGTCTGATGATTATAAACTTCCATCTCAAGATGAACTTATACATCGTGCCTTTGCTGGCGATGATGTTGTAATGGAGTTTCAAAAAGAGAAAATGGATGTCCTAAATGAAGAGAACCCTGAACCTGAAAAACCTGTTTTGCTTCCCGGGTGGGGTCAGTGGACTCACATACAACAGAAAAAGGGCATTCCTTCAATTATTACAGAAGAACATGAAAAGGCTAAAAGGAAGAGAGAAGAAGCCCTTAAAAAAAGGAAAGATTCTCATCTGAAAAATGTAATCATCTCTGAAAAGATTGACAAAAAGGTAAATCTTTATAATTTAATAAAATGCTGTAGATAAATTAGAGTTGCTAGGCTGTTTGTGCTTTCCTCTGCTTTTTGTTTATGTGAGTTTTGATGCTTATCTGTTTTGTTTGCACGACTTCTTAAGAGTAGTTTAACATAAAAGTTTTATTTCCAATTGTGTTCATTTTGTCGATGAGGAAACGGTTGACATGGAAGGAGGTCTCATCTGGTAGAAATTTTATATTTTTATGCTTTTCTCTTGGTGCTCTTATCCATTTATGAGATAAGAATATTGTGTTTTCTCGTTCTGAGATATTATGATTTTAGTAGTATGCATCACATCTTAAACAGCAGCTACATACAGACCATCATGTCTTAGTAATGAGATACTTCTTTACAAGTATTGCTGTTGAACTGTTTGTTATGTTTATGATTTCTTTAGTTGTAATTGACCTTGGTTTGGAAAGCATGAATTTTCATCAATTATACCCATGAAAATCTCATTGAGGAAAAATATATGTATCAAGTTTTCCGGTGTTTAAATGACTTATGTGCAGTCTCATTGCTATCTTTGTAGATTTATTGTGCCATTCTTTTCAAGATATTCTTTGTGCTTGTTGTTGACATCGTTTCTATTTGGTAGGCTGAGAAACTTCATGCAAAGAATTTGCCCTTCCCTTATACTTCCAAAGAGGCTTATGAGCAGAGCATCCGCATGCCTATTGGACCGGACTATAATCCTGCAATATCCATTGGAGCTCTCAATCGACCAGCTGTGAGTATTGTTCTAAAAATCTGAATTGCCTTCCTGTTAAATCCATCTCTTCAATCTGATGTTTAACCTACTAAGAAATGTAGTATTACTAACATATTTCCAGGTTAATTCTCCACTTCAGTTGGCCTCACTAATTCCACATGGAGTGAAATCTCACTTATCTTGAAATCAGCTACAATGTTCTTCATTTGTTATTACTTTTTTATTCAACATTTGAAAATTATGAGGATAATTGCAACATTAAACTAGGGCACAACTGACAAGGAGAGTTAAAATAACGAAGTGAGAGAGGTTGTCAATCGTCTTTACAATTCAAGTATTTGAAGTTGTAAATGATTTTGAGGTCTCATTTTGGTGTTGGATGGAACGGAAACCATTTAATCTTTTCCTAACAATGTTGAGTTTGAACTTCCAATTTTTGTTATTTGGATGGATTCACTCTTAAAAATTAATTTAGGGCTCGTTTGAATTGATTTACTTGGAAGTTTGTTTCGTAGATTTCTTTGATTCATTCTTTTTTTTTTTTGTGATCATTAATTAATTAATATCATTAAAATGTTGTTTTTTTATGTTCTCTTGCTTTGAGTGCCTACCAAATCCTTAGACTAGACAAGGGTTTGTAATTTAATGCATGCTGTCTTTTTATTATTTACAACCAAATGTTGGAACCCTAGTGAATTTCATCGTCTCGGAAAATGTGGTTCTAGTTCAAGCGCCGCGTCCAAATCAACCTTAATGTTGAACTGGTCAACTATAGAAACTTTTTTTGCTCACTTAAAGAGGTTCAGCCCATCTTGTATGCTGAAGCTTATATTATCCTTTATTGTTTTGGACTTTATTGTCAAATTTATCCTAAATCCTAAGGGACGGTGCGCTATTTTGTCCTTATGATTTCTGACTCCATTTTTCTGATTATTTTTATGCTATTTTTTGTTTGTAGTACTGACATGAGTCTGTTGTGCAGGTTATCAAAAGAGCTGGTGTCATTATTAACCCAATAAAGTACGAAGATATTGATCCATATGGCAAATCTGAAGACTCAAAGGAACCAAAGCACAAAAGGCAGAAGAAGAAGCCAAACGCAAAGAAAGCTCAATTTGCTGGCCGGAAAGTTTCCAAGAAATCGTAATCTTTGAGAATACAAAGGAGTTCTTGCCATTCTTTTGCTATTGCCCTGCGTGAGTCCAGGTGATGATGGAAAATGTTATCATACTCCTGCATGTACCGGATGAGTTCATTTAAATCCGCTTTCTTCAACTATTTTTCCCAATGCATGATTTCGCTGAAGATGTAGTATGGGCTGACAGTTTTAGTAAAGGTATCTTGCGAGCTTGTGCTGAATGAGCTTAAAATTTGTCCTATTATTATCTCATAAAATGACCACAGGAATATTTTTTATGTAGAAGAACGTTGATTTTTTATACTGAATTTATTCTCATATATAATTTTTTTTCATGCAAACCTCTTTTCCTTGTTTTGACAGAAGCTGGAAACTGTTTTCTGCTATTTATCATAATGCGAGTTAGTTGGGAATTTGTACTCGGCAAAATTGTAAGTATCTTGAACGCTTAATCTACTCTATTTAGGTTTTGTTTGGGACGATTTTTATTCTGTTTTTTAAAATAATTTTTTAATAAGACTTTTTTAATTTTTTACTAGAAACCTGCTTTATAAAACATTAAAAAAATCGTCTCAAACGAAACCTTCGATCTTCAACTAAACATAGTCCAAAAGCATGGCAGGTTTGTTTAGTGTTCTACCTAATTTTGTAGGTGCTGACCATCATGCAATATATATATATGATACATTATGTTTTTTATTTTATTTTATTTATTTTTTGCATACACTCAGAACTACCTATATGTTTCAAGGTGGTAGAACCATAAGGTGCATTCTGTATTCTCTCATTGAATACTTGCTAATTTAACGTTCTTAACTCAAAGATTGAGGACTGCTCTGATAATCCCAAAGTTTCACTCTTCAGCTCTTCGGAATTATCTGGGGGATCCCAAAATTCTCAATCTTGGAACTTTTGCACTTATTCTTAAAGAGTCCTGTGGTGACTGTGGTCTGTTAATATAACACTAGTTAGGATAATTTGTTAATTAATATAGCATCAATTCTTCATCCCAACAAGAGAACTGTTAAGCTTAGATGCGACAGCAGTAGTTGTGTTAAGCTGGTTAGAACTCTTGTGTTTGAAAAAATCATCCACACTTTGTAGTTCCTTACAGCAGCGGAACTTGTAGAGAAAAATAGGAAACAGATGCTAGTGAACTTGAGTTCGGTTTAGGATGTTTGTAGAAATTATTATGAGAAAAAGTAGTAATTTTTAAAAATTGTTATGAGTGTTATTAACTTTTATTCTTCAGAAAAAAATAAGTTATCAGTTTCTTGTAATTTTTTGCAATTTAGTTATTTGGTTTTAAAAAATATTAGTTTGTTATAGGTGAGAAGGTTAAGCAATTAGAGGGATTGGATAAGCTAAGGCTTTATTCACTATCATATAAATGGTCATCGATTATTGGTGAATTGCCTGAAACGTACAGTAAGTCGCTCGAGCAGTAAGAAGTTTTGTAACTAGAAGGTTCAACAGGATGCTCGGAATGAAGTGTTCCAAACTGCGGATGTGACTTAGGGCGCGTTTGGGACGGCGGCACTGTTGCTTTACTGTATAAAAAGTTATGAAATCCTTGTTTGGGACATTGCGGTAGAAAAGCGGCAGAAAAATTTCTGCGGCAGGTAATTGCTTCCCGCGACCTTTCCCTCTCGCCTGCGGTCCGCTGCTTTCGGGCAGAAAAATGACGAAACTCTCCTGCAAATATTCGCGACTACAATCGGTATGAATTCGAGTGCGATAGAGACGGAGCGAAGAAGAACGCAAAACTCCCCTGCAATACGATTTGCGTTAAGCAGTATCCAAAGCCGGGCTCCACCGCGACCACAATCGGCGAGGAGAAGACGAAGCTTCTGAAGAGTAACGTGAAGATCGGAAAGCCCGAGCACGAAAGAGCGAGTAAGCGAAGTGGAAAATTGACGGAGATCGTCAATGAAGGCGACGATAATGGCGGAGTAACGGAAAGCCTCTCGCGCGTCACGGCGGTGAGAGCCAAAATTGCCTGTTTGACGGATGAAATCGATATCGGCGGCGATGATGGAGAGATCGGCGAGGAGAGCGGAGGGGGAGACGGCAGAGCAAGGATTGATAGCCGGAAAGCTTAAAAATCATTACATCGCCGGAAGAAAGAAGGAATGCATATATTTGAAAGGAGAAACCGGCGAGGCGGAGGAGTGACGCGTGTCCTCGGAGGGTTTGGAATCTGGAAGGGGGGATCAGATATTTTGTAATGAGGAGGATATAATTTCTGTATAAATTCTGTCAGAAAGTAACAATGCTGCTGCTAAAATTGTATATGCTATGCAATACTGAAGCGTTTGTTGATTAATAAGTTGAACTTATTGTTGTTATGCAAGAGCTTACAACTGGAATGAATTCCGGTCAAGCATTGCCCCATTTTGATGACTCTGACAGAAGTTTTGCAATGGTTGTTTTTTACTGTAAGTATTACACATTTCAGGACAATTGCTGCCTTTGCACTGAACAATTTTTTTTTTTTAATGTTGCTGCAGGTTATGTTTTTAGGCCATTTGTCATACCATTAATTTCTCATGCTTGTACTTGGTATTTCTTCCAATATTGCTGAATGAATATTTGAAATTATCATTAATTGATTGAATTGTATGTGACTTTGAGAATGTGTTACTTAAGAAAATCTGTTACGTTAGAAAATTTGATGTGCAAATTAATTATTGGAAGAAGTTTAGCTTAAATTAAGTTGGTGGATAGATCCTTTGGAGATAGTTCTGAAAAGGTCCACATGTGGATCTCATAACTGTGTACCCAATTTTTTCTGAATCTTTTGTTTTGACAGCTTGGATTGGATAGTTTGCGGGCTGATCTTGTATTAGTTTGACATTTTATCTTATATGCCTGAATAAGAACTGTTACAACGTTCATCTTTAGCATTCTATCAGTTGCATGAAAGCAGTCTGATATCAATCCCAAAGAAAATGCAGAGGACCACTGGTGGTGTTCATGCTTAGAATCAACCAACCAATTGAGGAAGTCTGACGCAGAGCATATAACAGCATAAGATGATGAAGGAACCACCTATAGACCAGGAGAATAAGAAGAAAAAAAAAATGATACATAAAACAGTATTCTTGTAACATTCATCTATGTTGCTTTCTGGATTAAAAACATTAAAGGTAATTATCGTAGCACTGATTTAGATCCATCTCTCTTTCAACACATTCATATTAGAAAAAATATAAGAATAATGTATTACAAATCAATTGTGCAAACAAAATATTAGAAGAAATATCAATTTATTAAACAAGATTTTTAGACCTATATACTATGCTGCTCGCGTGTCCAAATATATGTTTTATAGACGACATTAAATACCGCTCTATATTTTTATTTGAGTTTTTAACAATACATTTGATTGGTTTAAATAAAACGAATAATCAACAAATTTGTTTATGTTTTAAGTTTTAAACACGAAGCATATAATTTGTAATTTAAAAAAAAAACTTATATTATTAAAAATTTTATCTTTTTTAATTTAAACTATTTTTCTAAATTTTGATATGCTATACAAATTTCAAAAAAAAAAAAAAATTGATGCACCGAACTTTTGCTCTTTAAGCATTCGGTTGATATAATTTTTTAAAAAAAGATCAATTAAAATAAATAATAATCGAGAATCTATAAAAACATAACAAATTAATTTGAAGTATGATTAGAAAAAGTCAAGTTAAAATTTTATAGTATTTTGATATATAAACTTATAAAAGATTTGATAAAATTAATTAATTTTAATTCATAAATATTAGTTGATTATTATATTTATCTAAATATATAAAAGGGTATCAAGGTATTTTGTTGTCATACAGCAGCAGCACAGTAACTCGACAGTTATACCACCCAAACAAAATGTATTTTTTTGTACAACAACTTTAGAAAGCAGCTTTCTGGACAACAACTTCACAACCTGCTTTACCGACTGATGCAGTCGTCCCAAACAAAGCCTTAGATTAGGGGTAGATTATTCTGTGTGGAGACCGGATGGTGAGAATGGTCTGAATTTGTTGTGCTTTTACTATTCTTTTGCTGCGCTTCTGTAAATACTCAGTAAAAGAGTAACAAATTGATTAGTGTTTGCTGCACTTTTACAAAAGGGCAGTGAAAACGTAATAAATATTCAATTAGTAAGATTTTTGTTGGGCTTTAGTTGTGATTTTGTTGAGTATTTGTAAAAGCTTAGTTCATTCTCTCTCTTTTACTCTACTATATATAACCTCTGTGGTAAAGTAATTTTTACTATTTAATTCAATCATTGCTTCTGTCATAGCAAAACTCACATGGTTACAATCTCTTCTTCGTGAACTTGGCCTTCAATTATCTATAAATATTGTATAAAATTCTTTAGTATTTATTTAACTTCTTCCTTCTCAATAATAATCTCTTATATATAGGATCACCAGTAATTTTTGCAGGAACAATGGCCATCCTTGAAGTGGTGAAAACGATTACAATCCCTCACATAAATCTCTCTTGCATAAACCCTAGAAACCAGCCTGATCGCCTCATGACAGTCCACACAAATCCTGAGGTTCTTCACCACTCTTATCTCCGTCCCTTCTCTCGTCTTCATCAGCCCGAATGCCACCGCTAGCTTCTCGCTGTGCGTCAATAGTGCCAGCTCCTTCCCTTCATCCTCCCCCTCCAAATCCAGCAACACCTCCCCAGTATTACCAACATATCCCACTCTCCTCAACCTCCCCATCATCTCCTCCACCATCAGATACAACTCTTCAGCCTCCAAAGCAGAGATGTCACCGGCGTAGAAGTCATGGAACTGGCCATCGACTTCAATGGAGCTGCATCCAGGCGTCTTCTTCACACTATTTTGCTCCATAAGCCTCCTAATGGAGGATACCTCGTCCCACTTCCCCATCTTGGCGTAGACATTGGAGAGCAGCACGTAAGCGGCGCTGTTCTCTGGTTCGATCTCGATAAGCCCTTTGATGGCAGCCTTACATGTGAGAATATCGCCATGGGTTCTCGAACCACCAAGCAGAGCTCCCCAGATTAGCGAATCGGGCGGCATTGGCATTGATCGAACCGTCGACCATGCTCGGTCGATCAACCCGGCGCGGGCGTAGAGATCAACCATGCACCCAAAGTGTTCGATCGAAGGCGCGATGCCGAAATCGGATCTCATCGCGGCGAAATGCCGCTCGCCCTCTCGAATCAGCCCACCATGCACGCAAGCCTGGAGAACGGCCAGCAATGTGACGGAATTTGGTGTCAAGCTGGTGTTTCTTACCATGTCGTCAAACATGGCGAGGGCTTCTCGGGCAAGACCGTGCACGGCGAGACATGATATCATAGCAGTCCATGCGGTGGCGTCGCGGATTTGAGGGGCCAATTCGTCGAACACGTTGAGGGCGTGCTGTACGCAGCCACATTTGGAGTACATATCGATGAGGGAGGTGGCGACCACGGCATTGATGGAGAGGCCGCGGCGTGATATGAAGCCGTGGATCCAAAGGCCGTGGTGTAGGGCGCCTAAGCGTGCACAGGCGGCGAGAACGGAGGAGAGGGTGAAGAGGTTGGGCGGAGGGGCTCGGGGGTCCGCGAGCATGGCGTTGAAAAGAGAGAGGGCGGCGTGGGGCTGGCCGAGATTAGCGTGGCCGTGGATGAGCGAGGACCAGGAGAGGACGTTTCGGTGAGGTAATTGGTCAAAGAGCTTGCGGGCGGGTAGGAGGTGGTCGGCACGGAGGAGGGAGGAGAGTAGGGAGTTGGAGGTGGGGAGGTCGTGGAGGGGTAGAGGGAGGGAGAGGAAGAGGAGGAGGTCGGAGGGAAGGGCTGAGTAGGAGGAGATGAGGGAGGAGAGGACGTGCGGGTGGTGGAAGAGGCCGTAGAGGTGGATGTGTGCGTGGAGTTGGGGGAGGAGAGAGGAGAGAAGGTGGGGAGTGATTAGAGAAACGGAGGAGAGGATGAGGGGGAAGGTGAAGGAGTCCGGGCGACAGCCATGGCGGAGGATGCGAGGGTAGAGGGAAACGGGGCTGGGGTGGGAGCGGAGGAGGCAGTTCCAGGCGAAGATGTCCGGGGTTGGATGGGAGAGGTGAAGACTTGGGTGGGTCGACGCCATGCAGAGAAGCTTTCAGCGCTGAGCCAGTGCATGTGAACAAAGAATGAAAATGATCTCTTTAAATACAAAATCTGTGATCTCGGTCTCTCCGAGAACATCACCATGGCTGGCCCAAGCGTCATGCAGTGCAGTGCGTCTTCCATGTAGATTTTATCATGCCGCTCAAGAGTCCAAATGGGAAGGAGAAGACTGAAAAAGAGTTCCAAGTCCTTCCCCGTTGCCAATTTTAGTCTCATTGAGGCTTTTCTTGGTTGCAGATTAGATCAAAATCCATGCCCCGTCCCTCTAGAATCATCCTCTGAACGTCTTACATATTAGAGGTACTACTAAAGCTTCTCTACGAGCAAAACACATCAGTTCAAAAACCTTCTACCATGGAGGTAGCAGAAAAAGAACTCATTTAGAGAAGATGCCCCGTTCCTAGGACATTGGAGAGGTTTGAGAAGGATGTCCCTCAATGGAGGATAGGGTTGTCAATATTTGACATGACTTAAAAATCTGGCCTAAAACCGATCCAAATTTTTGGGTTTAGGTCAACCCGAACTAGGGATTTTAATCCGTTTGCAAAACCGGGTTGGGTTCGGGTTGACCCAGAAATCCGAAATCAAACTGGTTTGACCCGTTTTTAATTGATTTAGGAGCGTTTTAGAAGATTATTATGAAATAAGTAAATGCTATTTTAAAAATAATAATAAATCATATTGCCCAAACTAAATTAAGCTTTGGTTTATTTTAAATTGATTGAAATAAATTTTACTTTAATTCGATTTAGGTTTAAATAAACCAAATTAAATATAAATGTTTTAGTAAAAATAAAGAAGCGGGTCGGATTCAGGTCGACCCAGACCTGAAGTGGGGTTGGTTTCGAATCAGCAAAACTGACCTATTTGAAAAAAAAACGGATCGGGTTAAAAAGTGTCGGGCCAGATTTGGATTCGACGTGAACCCGACCCGAAAATCGATTTTGATATCCCTAGTGGAGGATGTCTCCTTTCTAGGACTGGAGACAGGTTTGGGAGCCCAACATCATAGGGCTTCAGTTGCAATTTTGGATACTCTATTAGGTATTCATAATGAGTTATATGAGTTAATAGACATAATAGGCAGCTTAAATGATTGTAGTGTCTAACAGGTTATTAAGAGGTCTTATGGTATGTCATAGCTCTATACATACTTCATGTTGGAGAGCAATAGGCATGCAATAAACTGATCTAAGCAAGCACCTTGTTGTGATTCTTTTTTCAGAGTTGCCAGTGAGTTCAAAATTACAATTTATTTTTACAATCTCCTTAAATAGATAATAAAGCCATGCATGGAGAAGTTAATTATTCCATTTAGGCCATGAGAAACATGCGTGAGAGAAATTTTCCCTCATAACATTAACGTTTCAACTGGCATATTTTCTTCATCTCTAGTGAGTGCAATCAACTCATCTAGTACCTCATAGATACTCTCTGCGTGGGGGTGTAGATCATCCTCAACCACAAAGCTATGGAATTTCTTCCCCAATTCAATCCAACTCACACCGGTCTCCTTCTTGGCTCCCTTCTCCTTCATCTTCTTGATAATCCTTGCTCTGTCTTCCCATCTTCCTTCTGCTGAATATATATTAGACAACACCACATACGCTGAAGTGCAATCTGGTTCCATCATCACCAATTGCTCCGCTGCATATCTTCCCATTTCTGGATCGCCATGAATTCCACAAGCTCCAAGCAGAGCCTGCCAGAGAAGAGCCTTGGACTCTACATTTAACTCCTCTGTTAAACTCATTGCTTCATTTAATCGCCCTGCGCGACCCAACATGTCCACTATACAAGCAAAATGCTCTACTCGTGGAGTGATCCGATGGCTTGATATCATTGAACGCAGAAGCTCAATTCCCTTCTCAACAGATCCTGCATGGCTACAAGCATGGAGCAGTGAAAGATAAGTGATATCAGTAGGCGCAGTACCGTTTGACAACATTTCCTGATAAAATTGAAGTGCTTCTGATCCATAACCATGGCGGCCAAATGCTGCTATCATTGAATTCCAGGACACAGAATTCCTGTACTGCATTAGATTGAATAGTTTGATGGAGTCTTTCAGTTCACCGCACTTGGAATACATGTTGATGAGCCCATTGCACACGTAAATATTGGAGAGGAAACATTTTTTGACAGTTAAGGAATGGATTTGCTTCCCTAGAGCTAGCGCAAATGGCCTAGAAGCACACCCGAAGGCCCCGAGAACAGCCGACACCATATTTTCATCAATCGCGATACCTTTTCCTAGCAATTCGGCAAACATTTCAAAAGCTCTATCTTCCATCCCATTCTGTGCAAAACTAACAAGCAGAACAGTCAAGAAAACCTCATCAGGCTCGACACAAGAATGAAATACCTGGAGTGCATCTTCAATCATGCCGCACTTGGAGTACATGTCCATTAGAGCGCTCTCGACGTGCAAATCCGACGGTAAGCCAGACTTCTCAATACGCCCATGAATCTGCCGTCCTTCACTGAGAGTTCGCAATCCAGAACAAGCAAGGAGAGAACTTGCATATGTCGTCGAGTTGGCTTCTTCAGCTCTCAGAATTTCTCGAAACAAAAGAAGACTTTCATTGAATAACTGGCCCTGAGCAAGCCCGGAGACCATTGCCGTCCATGTTATCACATTCCTCTCAACCATGGCATCAAAAACCTTCCTTGATGAGAGGGGACAGCCGCATCGGAAATAACCAGTAATGAGGGCATTTCCAACCTGAACTACACTCTCAAAACCACTTGAAATAATCAATGAATGCATCATAGAACAAGCATACGAAAGCTCAGGGTTAGTACAAATGGATACAACAGTTGTCAGCGTCGCCTGATCATACCTACATTTCTTCAAGATGAGCATCCTTTTGAAGTATTGGAATCCCCTTGAGAACTGCTCCTTCAAAAAGCAGCCTGAAATCATCGAATTCCAGGAGACAGTATCCTTAAGAGGCATTTCGTCGAACACCTTAGCGGCATCCTGAAGTTGGTCACACTTCGAGTACATCGCAATGAGGGAATTCCATACGACGAGAACATTTCGCGGATCGGTGAGGTTATTGACGCTGAAGCGATTGTTGTTCTTGATGATGGCGGCGTGTATAGAAGAACCGAAACGATAGTGTTTTTCTCTGCCACAAATGGAGAGAAGGGAACTGAGTTCAGCATAGTTTGAGAGATGGAGAGTGACATCTCTCATTGCTCGTTGCCATATAATCGGGAGAGGCTTTCTGTGAATACTGTGTCTTGGTTCATTTGATGTCGGCCCTGTCCATGCTAGTATGGTGAATTGGTGATCCGTCCACAGGTTCAGCAAATTTAATTGGATTAGAAGCCGGAACTCAGGAGGGTATTTTTATGCATAACACTAATTTTTTATTTATTTATTTATGATGTAGTGAAAATCATTGAAGAAGAAGATGCAAATATCTTAAGAGAGCAAATAACAATAAAACCTGTAATTTCAAAATTATTTCATATCATCTCTTTCTCCTATAACTGTTCTATATATAATATATTAATAGAACTTTCTAGAAAGTTCTAAAAAATAGGTACAAAATAGGTATATTATTCATAAAACTTATTATATTTAAGATAAACTACATCATAATCCATCTATATTTGGAGAATCTGAAGTAGGATTTGAAGTATAGGGCGCTAAAAGAGCCGATTGTTTGAGAGGATGAGTTAGCCAATGTTGGGCGAGATCCTAGATTTTTAAAAGACTATTAGATGACTCGTTGGATGACTTATTTTTGTCGGTTTGTTATGCATCTTCAAAAAGTTGGAATGTTGTTATGTCTAAGTCCTCGACTACATCTACCACCAGTTTGAATCTAAATGTTATTTCGTTGAGTAACGAGACCACTTTGATCACTTTCATTGCTTACATCAATGGTATTTATTGAAAATTTGTTTTCTCATATTTTTTATTATGAGCAAGTGGAGCTCCTTTCCAGCCCAAACTAAACGAACCAAAATGCAAACTAGGAGACAGATTGAGATTCCAATAAATACAATTGTCAACCATTGTTGCACCAATTCAAGCATTCTATCAACATAACATCCAATATTCCAAACAGTTAGAGTAACTAGTTTCTACTTATTCAGATGGAGAAAGGAGAAAATAAGCCTAGTCAAACAAGCATCTACCACCAATTTGAATCTAAATGTTATTTCGTTGAGTAACGAGACCACTTTGATCACTTTCATTGCTTCCATCAATAGTATTTATTAAGAGTTTGTTTTCTCATATTTTTTATTATGAGCAAGTGGAGCTCCTTTCCAGCCCAAACTAAACGAACCAAAATGCAAACTAGGAGACAGATTGAGATTCCAATAAATACAATTGTCAACCATTGTTGCACCAATTCAAGCATTCTATCAACATAATATCCAAAGACGGTAACTGACGATCCAATTAATGATAACTTTGAAGAAGTTTATGATGACACCCCATTATCTCATAAGAAATTGGAATTCATTGATGAAATTCAAATTAATGTGATGAGATAGATGTCTTGCGATAGCTAAAAATGAAACAAAAGATTTGAGGAGAAAGAATATTTTTAATATGCATGTTGTGAATATTGAAAATAGATGAATGTTCAACTTGACAGGGAAAGTGCAACGAATGTTATCTCAACATGCACCCATTCTAGAGCCAACATAAACATTGAATCTCATTTAGGGATAGTCTTACCCATTATGAGATAAATTTTACTACACTTATTCCACCTTTTTCTTTGAACTTAAGCTCACATATGGTAGAATTTAGAACCTTACGAAAAGAGTTTTCTGGTCCATTTCTACTTCGCTTATTACATCTGATGAGACTCACGTATCTGTTGTGGTCTCCCTTGATGTAGCACAACAATTATATCAAACTTATGAAGTTAAAGGCCCCCAAACTCTTCCTCTTTCCAAAAACTCCAAACAGGCCTAGTCTTGGCATACCTTTTACCTTATCTCCCAAACTCTTCCTCTTTCCATCAAAAACTCCAAATCACTTAGTAAGATAATAAAATAAGTAATCTTAAATATTTTTATTAACTAATCCCATCAAAAGCCCCCTCCCTCTCCTCTTTGAAGCTGTAAGAGCTTTGACTATTAATTAAGAGATTTTATGTTTAAATTTTATGATTTATCTTAATTAATCTAAATGTAAAAAAATTATATAAATAATTTATTGATCAGACAAAAATTTATTTTATATCTTGCTGCACCTGAGCTCGGAAGAACAAGCTTAGTGCACCGCTCTTCAAATATTGATGCCACGCCGCGAGTACGTTCAGTAGAGTTGCGGCCCCATGTTATCCCTCTCCGGCAACGACACTTCACAGTCCATAACACGAGAAATTATTCTGTGCGGAATCCGGTTATAGAGCTGTGTTCGGATGCCAGTAAAATCATTACAAGTGGCGTGCTTACATGGAAAGTTAGGATATTCATTTGACTTCTTACTCGACCCGTTTGTCTTTTCGGACTTACTGCAGACGAAGAAAAATCCGCAACAAATAATCAATAAATAAGCAGAAAATGCACAACATATACATAACAAATATTCAATAAATACGCAACAAATACATAATAAATACTCAATTAATTCGCAAGTCAAATAAATGCTGACTTTTAACTTTCCACAACACAGCCGTTCTCATCGGACGGACTTGATTTTCCTCCGTCGCCGTTAGATCATACAGTCACCCCCGGCTCTCTCCGTCCCTTTCGAGATTTCCTTCCCTCGATCCCAGAATCTCCTCATCGCTTCCTCCCATGGCGGACTGGGGGGAGGAGTCCGAGAACCCGGAACTGACTGAGAAGCAGAAGAAGGAGATCGCCAAATGGTTCCTCACTAATGCCCCTGCCGGCGAGATCCAGTACGTTGCGAAAGGTCTCCTCTCCCTTCTTTCTCTCTGTTCAGATGCATTATTAACGGCGCTGACCGTTCTTAGGTCTTACAGATGTTCGGGCGCTCATAGCGGATGACAGATTGTACAATATGGCAGCGGCTGAGGCCTTTCCTCTCTTCAACAAAGCCCATCTCGTAGTTCTTGAGATGCCCGATAGGAGCGGCGATGTGAGTTCTTTCTGTTACTCCTAGAGTTTTAGTAGTATGTGGTCGTCGTGGGGATCTTAGTGTTGTTAAGTGTTAAGTGGCTGCAGCACACCATCTCAGTCGTGAATTAATAACTATCGATGTTTATATCGTGTGTTTAATGCCGTTGGACTATTGGATAAGCTACATGGTGGAGATAATGCAGCTCAGAAGAAACAGCTAGAATAACCACAAAATCATCAACAACGCCATTGGGGGGTACTGGAGATTATGGGTGGATACAATTTTATTAGCTGCATTGTTTTAAAATTCGTTATTCAGTAAATAACAATATAAACAATAACAATGTCTGTGCCATTTTCTCTCAAACTAAAACATTTTTCACTTTTATCTCCTAATATCACAGATGCTAGTGACATCTGCAACTTTGTAGCCCAATAGTTCGTAGAGTTATTCATCATCTCACCTTTCAGCAAAGTTATAAACTGATTTTCATATTTCTTATAGCAAGCAATCAACATCACAAAGCCTTCATATTCATTATATATGCATTAATTGTTCTTATTTATATATTTAAATGTGCCACTTTCAGGTAATAATATCGTCCTTTGGTGAAATTGACAAGGATAACTTCTTTGATCCTAGGACTGCTCAGATTGTTACGGTGGATCATATGAAACAGGTAATTTTGTGGCTTCATATTTAGCCCAACTCCTCTGTCATCACAGTTTACTAGGTTTCTTGGAAAATAAGTTGATCTGCGACAGTTATTTCTTTCTCTGGCTTTCAAGATTTGGATCTCAAAGGCATGATTTGATCGATTTCTGTCAGTTAGCAGTTAATTTGTACTTTTAACATTGTTTTCAAAGCATAATTTGCAATGCAATGCAGATCTTTTTTACTTCAATGCACAAAGCTCAATGTGAAGCAGTTTTTTTACTAACTAGAACACTCATAACTTATATATCATTTGTACAAACCACATCAAGTACTAATTTTTAATAAGTATAATGATAAATTCAACATCAATTGCAAAATATGAATGATTTAATAAATGATTTAAAATTTTGAATAAATTTGAAAAGAAATGTGAATTAAATACCTAATTTGATGATAGATTTTGAAAGTGGACCTGCAAATTGAAAATTCTAACAATTTCTATTATGTTTTAAATTGCATGCAATTTATGGAACAAATAATAAAAAGGATATTCCAGATATGAGATACTCTTATTAGTGAATGAATAAAGTGAATTCTTCATGCATATGCTCTTGGACCAAATTTAATATTGTTCAGCTTCAATCAACCATGGCTTAAACTGGAACTACATTAAGCTTGTACTGTGTCACTTTATATGTAGCTCATGGGATGCATTTTGTGTCATTTTCTATTGCGATTTTCTTATTTTTCTTCTGTGTAAATGGTAGGTCTGTGTTGCAAAAGACATATAGTACATACCAAACCTTCAAATTGTGCCATAGAGAAGCCATTTACCATGATACCATCATTATTAGGAAAATTCAGAATTGCAAAATGTGCCAATAGGCTCGTTGCTAGCATTGAATTGATAGCAAATGCAACTATATGCAGGATTGGCTGGGTAAGAAGTTAAACAGCCAAACCTAGCAGCTAGGCAGTTGTAAGAAGGCTGTTGTTGCCAATGATGATACGATGATTGTGATCGGTACTATGTTTTAATATGGCACTAAACATGCTACTTTGATAGCCTTCCCAAAAAATTGTCTGAAACCGTCACACTAATACTTGTTGCTACTTGGTTTGTAATGTAGGTGTATTTGAATACGTCTAAACTTATTAGAGAATATTGTTTTATTCTTTGGATAAGTGAATGGTTATATTTGTTACCTTTGTAACTTGAAAATGGATATTTTATGCGAAATATCATGTTTTAGGCTTTGTTTGGGGTGGCTTTCGTATTGCTTTATAAAGTAGGTTTTTAATACAATTTTTTTTTAAACTATAAATTTTTTTACCAGTAAACATTTTTAGAAAGCAATAAGAAAATTGTTTCAAATAAAGCCTTATTCATAGCACTAGCTATTTTACTTCCTTTATTATACGCTTTGATTTTTCAGGTTTGCACAAAGGTACGACCTGCTAATGATGAAGAGCTTCCATCAGCCTATGTTGAGGAATTTCGGTATGTTCCTCTTATAAACAGCAAATATGTGTAGTGCATTGCAAACTTCAATATCTGTTGATTATCAAATACGTACGAGGTGTGTGTTTTTCAAACTTGCAAAAAGTCAAATAAGCCTACATTGCTGTTAGCAAAATGATTTGGATAAGGCCATCAATAGCAAAGTAATTATTAAGTTAATGTTAATAAAATAGTTTTATTATATAAAAATAGGTTAAAAAGTTACCGTCCATAAGCATGATGATGTAGGACTACAATGCTTAAAGTGATATGATAAGAACTTGCACGATTTCTTGATAAAAACAATTATGATTAGAATTACTAGCAAATTATGAGCTAGGTGCAAATAAAACGATTAAATAAAACATAAGAGTGGTCACTTCCATTTAGGTCAAGTTGCACAATAAGCGCTTGAATTATCAAACAACAAAGAGAATCATTAACATGCAAATGGAATAGCTTTCAACAAAAATTCCTAATAACAACAAAATTAGAAGCAAATAAAATGCACTCAATCCCTATAATGGGAGAGGGATTTATGGCAAGGGTTAATGCTTGCTTAAATTTGGGGATTTAAGTTAGGGAAGAGAAAATTAAATATCCTTTAATCAAATATTGATTTGAGGATGGGGTTTAAAACTTTCCTAAAATAGATTTTGTATTTTAGGAAAGATTTTGAATTTCAAATCACTTGTATTTGAATTCAAAATTATTCCTAGTTTTATGCAATCTAAATTAGGAAATAAGAAAAGAAAACAAAGGCGGGGAAGACTCAAAGGGGCCGGCGGATAGGGTGAGGGTGGCCGCCAGATTTTGGTGGTGGGGTGTGGTCAGTTGGGTGAAGAGGAGAGGGTTTGGTGAAGGTAGAGAATTGACCGTGGGTGGGGAAAGGGGAAGTAGTGCTGGCGTTGGTGGTGGGGGAAGGAAGGGAAATAGATAGAAAGTAAAACCACAAACCCGACTCGTCTAGGTTGGTGGGTGATGCGCAATTCTCCCTCTCCTAGGGATCTCACTCCAATCTCTAAAGCTCTCATGAGAACTCAAACAAAGAGAAGAAATTTTTTCAATCAATCATTCATTAACATTAAAAGAGAATAATGAGGCTATATATAGCCTCATACAAAGACTCAAGAAAATAAAAGACGACAACGCCCACTGGGCTTACATACGGCCTCCCTTAATTAAGGGGTAAAAATGGAAAAACTAATAAAGAAAATACAATATGACATAATAATAAAGAAAATAAATAATACAACTCATAAATACAATGACTCAATCGTGGTCGTAGATCAACGGCCACATCTCTGATAGACTTTCCACGCTCTGATGTCCCTATCACATGAACTATATTATAATTTATCTTCTGAACATGGCAAAGGGTTAGCGAAGGAAAATAAAGACATGAGAGGGGTCTTGTATTTGCAAGTCATATTGAAAACCTTATTCTTTGATGTTTATTTTTTCTATGATTCATTTGAATCTGGAATCATGTGGATTGCGTGCAGAGTAGTTTGCTTTTGATCAATTGTGTCAAGCAGCTTGCTAAAATTACTTGAACCAAAATGCTGATCTGCCATTCGTAGTTGCTTGTAGAATCTTTTGTATCAAGATTTGATGGCAACGTCTTTAGTGTACATATTCATTACTTACTGAATTCCATGCTATTTCTTTTGATGCAAGAATCACCTTTAATTTTTTGTTGTTTATGTTTACTCGATCTTGTTGTGGTTCTTTAGCTTATTTAATATTCTTAGCATTGGTAGGTTTGCACTGGATGCTGAACTTTGCAAATATGTTGTTGATACTTATCCCAAAGGAACCTGTGCAGTTTATTGCACCAGAGGAAAAGACGTGGATGGACCAGGTGTCAACTTTGATTTTGCTGTTGTGATTTCTGCTTCAAGAACCAGCCCACAAAATTTCTGGTGTGTAAGTTGTTTCGTTGAAAAATTATTTTGATGTACTCCTTCTCGATCATTTCACTGAATTTTATGCTTGTGGGTCAGCTTTGTGTGAGCTGCTTGTGCTGCTTTCTCAAGTAGGCACCTTTTTTTTTTAAGATTCTGTATTGAAGACTAAGAAGATGCCAGATGAGTGGAGAATGAGTGTGTTAATTCCTATTTTTAAGAATAAAGGTGATGCACAAGATTGTGCGAATTATAGAGGTATTAAGTTAATGTGTCATACTTTAAAACTATGGGAGCGAGTTATGGAGCATAGGTTGCGGCGTGATACTAATGTTTCTCAAAATCAATTTGGATTCATGCCGAATAGGTCGACTATGGAAGCCATACATTTATTAAGAGGTTTGATGGAGAAATATAGAGAAAATAAGGAGGATCTACATATGATATTTATTGATTTAGAAAAAGCATATGATAAAGTTCCAAAAGAAGTGCTATGGAGAGTTCTTGAAAAGAAAAGGAGTCAATAATGCTTATATTCAAATCATTAAAGATATGTATGCAGGAGCTATTACTTGTGTTCAAACACAAGGTGGATTGACCAAGTATTTCCCTATTTCGGTTGGGTTACATCAAGGATCAGCCCTAAGCCCATATCTTTTTGCTTTAGTCATGGATGTTCTCACTAGACATTTGCAAGAGGATATACCTTGGTGTATGCTTTTTGCTGATGATATTCTTCTTGTTGATAAGACTAGAGAGGGAGTTGAAGGTAAACTTGAATTATGGAGATCAACCTTAGAGTCTAAAGGTTTTCACTTGAGTAGATCAAAAACGGAATATATGGAGTGTAATTTTAGTAGTAATAGACCTAGTGAGGGGATTGTGACTTTGGGCGATCAAGTCATTAATAAGAGTACACGTTTTAGATATCTTGGATCTATTGTTCAGAGTGATGGTGAAATAGATGAGGATATTATCAGCAGAATTCAAGTTGGATGGTTAAAGTGGAGGAATGCATCGGGCTTGTTATGTGATAGAAATGTACCCCTCAAACTTAAGGGAAAATTCTATAAGATGGTAGTGAGGCCTGCAATGCTTTATGGTGCCGAATGTTGGCCATTAAAAGAGAAGCATAATACTAAGTTAAGTGTGGCAGAGATGAGGATGCTCAGGTGGATGAGTGGCTTTACCCTTAGAGATAGGATACGAAATGAGCATATACGTGAAAAGGTTGGAGTAGCTCCAGTAGAAGATAAGATTAGAGAAAGTCGCCTTAGATGGTTTGGTCACATAAAACGGCGGCCTTCCGACGACCCAGTTAAGAGAGTAGAGGTATTAGATTTGACTTATGTTGAGAAAGGTAGGGGTAGACCTAAAAAGACTTGGTTAGAAAATATTAGGAATGACCTTTCTTTATTAGATTTAAACGAGAATTTGACTTTTAATAGGACACAATGGAGAAAAAGGATTCATGTAGCCGACCCCACGTAGTGGGATAAAGGCTTGATGTTGTTGTTGTTGTTGTTGTTCTGTATTGTCACCTACAAGATTGTGATGAATTGATGAGAATTTAATTCTGTAATTTACTGAACACTTTGTAATATATAATTGAAATGCACTGTCAATCATATTTTTTTTAACTGTATGTAGTAACTATATGTTTTGTTAATTACTTGGAAATCCTTACATTTATTATTAGTCTACCAAAACTTTGTGTCTTCTACCTTAATGGTTGTTTTCACACTTTACTGCAAGATTTAATTCCTAAGATTATCTTAAAACCTTTACTAAGCTCTTGCTGCTTAAACATTCTACCATATTATCTAGTCATATGATACCGCACTTGTCTGATAGCTAGAAAAAAAAAAAATTGTTCTGCAGACCCTCTCTATGATACATGTTTCAAATATTAATACTGGAAGAGAAAAAGGCAAGAGAGGGGGCTATGGGGGGAGAGAATAGAAGGATAATATGAAGATGGGATCGATTTTTCTACTTCAAATCACCTTTTGTGGTAGGTTGGGTGTGAGACCTACTTTACTCTCATCTTCTCACTGCACCTATTGCGAACCAATAAGGAATATGCTTTGACATTGTATAGGTTTTGGTGGTATGATGCTTGTAAATGACCTAGTCTAGTGGGTTGGTTTTATATCAATTAAAAGTAGGACATAATATTGAGCCAATTAATAATATAATTGTTGCGGGCTAGAAATTACGCGGCGCCTCGAGATTCGTGCCCGATCAAGCTAATTTTGTGATGACGTATCAATAATAAAAAATACAGCTACATTAATTTAATTATGATTCTAGGTGGTTCCAACATGACTATTATGAGATTAAGGATTACGTTCCTATATTTAATGGGACGTATATTCTAAGAAATTTTTATATTGGATAAATAAATTGGAAGATTTCTTTTAAAATCATAGTATATCCGAATTATGAAGAGTTGAATTTATATAAAAAAAAACTAATAATTCATGCTCAATATTTCCTTAGATTCTTATTTATCAAGTCCTTGATGGCGTCGTGACTGTACTGATCTTGACATAGATTTTTCAAGGATGGCTTATGAGATTTTCATTAGCCGAACTATATGTTATATTGTTTTTATTTAGAAATTCAAATAGCTTTTTACTATAAAAATGGGCTCTATGGCATATAAACAAGTAAACAACAATAAAATACTTATGAATCAATTTCTGGTTAGATGCGGACTTCATTCTAATTTGCTTTTTGATCAAAGAGATGAAAGATGTTTGGGGGAGATGATCTCTTTGTAAAAGCAGAAGGCATTATTTAGTGATCTATTATCCTTCTACTTTGCTTTTATAATTCTTAATTTGGTTGGAATGTGTGACTTTTTTTCGTTCAGGTTTTATACAATTTGGATTCTTTTATTTCTATGATAGCTCAATTTCCAATTGATTATATCTTTTTATATTTTTCTAGTTTTTGGGCTTTTACATTTTATTTCTATCAGGCGGCTATCAAATAATATAAATATGGGTTTCTTCATCTTTTTATTTTCATTAAATAAAATGAAAATTTGTGTAAATTAAGCTTTTATAATATTCGATTTTTTTGTGTATTTACATAATGTTAATCACATCGTAATAGGTTTGTTTTTATAACCTTAACCCTAAGACATCCTACATAAGGGGGAGTATGATGGTGGTAATAGAGAAAGGCAAAGGAGAATTGAATGGCTTTTGCCATAACTTTTTCATATAATTAGTTTTTATGTTACTACCTTCAAATGTATGATGAAGATCATTAATGTTGATCTATAATATAAGAGCAATCCTATAATATGAGTTGATCATTGTGAATTCTTGATCATTGATCAAATTTGATGGAGAAATGAATCCCTCAGTAAAAGTAAAATCAACAATATTGAAATTATTCTAAATGTAATTTTGTCCATGAACAAAAAAAAAATAACTAAGTACTTCAAAATATGCTTAATGATTCACTTATCCAACTATCTAGATCATTCATTAGCATGCTTTTGAATAGTTGATAAATAATCTTATCATCTTAAAATTTCATCAAAATTCACATCCTATTGCATGATTGAAAAATGAGGTAAAATAAAATTATATGAAAAAAAAGTCTTTTTTATTCATCTAGAAAGAATAGAGGATAAGGTTGGCTGGCACCTCTATTATCTTAAGCTAAGGTGACACGAGTCTAGGTCGAGTGAGACAACCTCAACTAAAACTTCAGACATCTTATTTTGGATTTGCTCTAGTTGGAATTCAAGTTGAGTTCAGCGAACTTATTTTTATATATAAATTAAAAAAATCAAATATATATGTAGCTGATGCTACATTGGTGAAACTTAAAGTCTTGAAGGACATGGAAATTTTCCTACTTTTCGGATTTTGCACTTTAAGCAGACTTTTTCATTCATCACCTTTCTCCAGTTGAAATATTTATTTATTTTTCTTGTATTTAATTTGTGCATTGTTTGTGAGAAATGGTAAATGATCAACATTCGTTTTTTATATGCATTAGATATCCCTGCTACTTATTTTCTCTTTTGTCCAATGACCACCTCCTTTATGCTTCTAGAGAAACACCCCTTTGCATAATTCCCTTCAAATACTTGAATTAAACTACTCCTTCAGTGCTGGTATTCTAAAACTTGTCAGGCTTACTATTTGTATTTCTTCTTCAAAAATTAATTATGTTTTCACTACAGATATATGTTCGTTAATATCTAAAGATCAAGTCTAATGGATCTTTTTACTATACAGTTGTTTGCCTTTGTGTTTTGCAGCAATGGCAGTTGGCGTTCTATATGGACCCTTGAATTCAAGGATGATTTGCAAGTTGTGGAAGTAAAAGGAAAAATGCAGGTAATTCACTGATTCCATGATGATGAACTTGCTTAAAGCTAGTGAAAAGATTAACTTGTAATGAACTAACTTGCTTTGATCCATCTTCTTTGGGTTTGATAGCATCAAACTGATTAATTTGACATCAAATATTCACCAGGTTGTTGCACACTATTTTGAAGAAGGAAATGTACAACTGGATGCTAAAAATGAATGCAGGGACTCCACCCTCTTACAGGTCTATACTTGTTTGAAGGAAACTCAGTATAATTCGAGCATGCAACTATTTAAACTATTCGACCTTAATGCAATCCTTTGAATGAAGATGAAAATGATGCCTGCCATTAGCTAACTGTTGAAACATGAATATTGATACCAAAGATCGGTGCTTGAACTATAATATTGCAGTATTCATATTTGCAGTATTAAGTTCATATGCAAAGGCCTACACTACTCAATACTCCTTTAAGTTGTCCATACTCGATTATAAAGGTAGCTCTGTCGGAGAATCTAATCTAATAGATAATACTGTTATGTTCTTAGTTTTCTAAACCATGTATGGTCGATCACTATAAGTATGCTTAATTTGTTAAATGAGTGCAAAAATAAATTTAATATAGGAATATTTATTTGAAATTTTTTTACATACATAATACTTCAAACTATTATATTTATTTATCTAACACCCAAAGTATATTATTTACATTCCTACCACCCAAATACACCCGTTTCATCTAAATTACCACTCCGTTACCCTATCTGCCCTGCTCATCGCGAGAGCAGGTTTGCTCTTCATTCTCTCCATTTCTTCGGTGCTATCAAATCGGAAGTATAGATTGGAGCTCGCCGTGAAGACAAAACCCCTATCAGCCTGACCCTTGGCATCTTCTTCGGTTTTACGGTTTGCTCTTTGTCTACTCCCTTTCCTCTTTGCTATCGTGTTCGAAAGTCCAGATCGAAGCTCACGGCTAAGGTAACGATATCTATTTCACGTTTTGCTTATGGATTTCATTGTCCTTTCTACTGGTAGAGTCATCGTCTTCCCATTTTTTCTGGACGTGTAGAGTGCCATGTATTGTATATTATTTGATTTGTCTGCTACAAATTGTATTCTCTAAGCAGCTGTAGAACATATGCAAGAAACATTGGGCACAACTGTATTATTATCATAAATTTGATCTGATCTTAAGAAAGATCTGCATGCAAAACTTGCTCTAGATAAATCTACGCCAGGCTTCATCAGTATAAAACGAAACTACAAATCATATCTGCAAATTATAATGAGAATAAAAAATTATCAGTATTAAACGAAACTACAGTTGTTCTCGATATAACTGTTGTTTGGATCATGAATCAATTTGCATTTGCTTCTGAAGCAATAAGATTCAGATCACACCCTCCCACCCACATTCACCATGAATCCTCTCTCCACATGAATGCTTGGGATTGGAGAAACGAATAGAAAGAAGCTCAAACTGAGTACCCGTTCGAGTGAGGAAGAGGCGAAGGGAGATCTTCTCGGTTTGGTTGTTCACACGACTGTCATCAGACATAGACTCCACTTGGTTATGTTGCTCACACTGGATGGAGAAGGAGAGCAGCACTCTCTTTTAGCGATGGAAGGCAAACACTTTAGCGAAAAAAGATTGGGTTTTCGCATGACAAAGGCAGGGTCGGGTAGACACTCCAGCGACGAAGAAGGGATTTCACACGTGAAAGGCAGAGTCGGGATGGGCTATTCACAGAGTTTTGACGGCGTGGTAATTTAGATGAAACGGGGTGTATTTGGGTGGTAGGTATGTAAATAGTATACTTTAGGTATTAGATAAGTAAATGTGTTATGTATGTAAAAATCCCTATTTATTTTATATGTATTGGTTGGTATAAAGTTGCTTCATTACACCATGCCCAAAATTTTACTTCATTGCTACCAAGAAGACTTTTGGTGTTAATCTGATCCCACAAAACTATACCTGTTTATGTGTGATCCTATCCCTATCCATGACGTGTGGTGCCTATGGTTGTTCTCTATTTCTTGCACAATTCTCCTTGAGATCTATTTTTTGGTTCCGATAGATCGTGTGGTATTCAATCCTGTATCCTTTTGTGATGCGTGGTTCATCTAATGGATTCCTGTAGCAGTTGATTGGAGTTAGGTTGCTTGCGTTCTTATCCTTTTCACCTGAAATTTGATTTCTTTTCTTGAGGGTAGTTCATGTGGTTATCCTGACTTACCCGTACTATTCATGATGAGGACATCGATCAGAGGTTCAAGTATGTGTATCGCCGGAAGAATCATAGATCGATGGCCACGATTGAGAGTTTATATTTTAGAGTTATTTATGCATTTAGTTCTTTTATGTATTCCTATTGTACCTTTTTTTTATGTTGAGTCATGATGTAGCCTCGAGGGCAATTTAGTACTTGTGTCTTCTTTGTGTTGAGACCTATATATAGGTCCTTGCTATTGTAATATGGGGATGAATATTTTGGAATAAAATTTTGTGTTATTTCTACTTCTTCTTGCATGAGGGCTTGAGAAGGGAGAGAGCTCAAGGGGAGCAAATCGCAAGGCCCACCAGTCGTTGGAAGAGTTCGCGGCTCGTGATTAAGTTACCTTATATTCTCGTTCGTGTTTCATTCACCCACTTCCCCTCCACCGCAATAACAAGCCTTCCAAATTTATTGTTGCCGCCACCTCCTTGGAAGGCCGCCACCCACCACCTCGCAACCCCAGCCGGCCTCCTTGCCGGCGACTCCCCTTTCCACCCACCATCCAACCCATCTATCCAAAATTTTAAATTTGAAATTTGAATTTTCAAATTTTAAATTCTTTCCTAATTTGGAATTCTAAATTTGGAAAGTTGTCAGGACGAATTCAAATTTCAATTTAAATTAAATTGGAATCGTTAATTGATCGCCACATCATCACACCAAATTGGAAACCCCCTTTCTACCATTCTCCCTCTCCCTCCTCTCACCTTGCCGCCAGCCCTAGGATGGGCTCCCCCATTGATTGCCTCATTTAATGCTACCTCCTATTTGAAATTCAATTTGATTTCAAATAAACTGCCCCTCCAAATTTACTTAATCCTGAAATTAATTTCAGGATTGGGAATTAATCCCCTATTCTCCCCTCTATTGGCCGCCGGTCTTGCTTGGGGTTAATGCCCATTAAATGCCACTTTATGGCATTGATCGCATGAGGTTTGAAATTCAAATTCTAAGTAACTTCCCCCCAAATTTACTCAAAATCTGAAACTAATTTCAGATTTGAGTAAATCCCCTCTTCCCCTCATCTAACCTCAAATCCTTCTCCTAAGCCGCCGCCCCTCCCCTCTCTCAACCTTGGCCGATCCCTTTCCCTCTCGGGGAAAGTTAGATGCTCATAACAAGTGGGAACGAGAGAAGAGAAGAAGACATTCTCTCCCCTTTCTCCTCAACTATGCATGGCCGATCCTGAGATCGACCACGGCTTCCTCTTCGACAAGCAAGGACGGACGAACATCCTGGCATCACCATTCTTTGACATGCAACTTGGGCACGACGAAACCGTGGAAGGCTACATCGACCGCATCCGATATCAACTTGCATTATCAATCGAGGAGCATCTCCCACCAAGCCGTTGGATCATCATTGGCCATTCACCACCCCTCCGACTCCAACTACTTTCCTGTGGACGAAGGCTTCCGGCATCCTCTTTATTGTGGTGATCTTAATTCTAGTTTGCAAGGTCTTCTCCCGCCAAACCTAGTGTAGTCGAGTGAAAATCCCCAAGGTGAAAATTCTCATTATTAAGTTGCGGATTGTTGTTTATTAGCTATTGGCCTTGCTATTATTTTTGTTTATCTACAAGGATTAGTTAATATACATGCACTCCTTCGCCTAAGCTAGTTGAAAACCAAGAATCTTTATTGAATTACCTTGTCATCATAATAAGCTATTGAGTGAAATTAAATTGTTCAATTTTTCTTAAATTCCTTAATGAACTCCTGCGCATTTGCATGTTTGTTTCACATCACTAGAAGTATGAAAGATGCGTAGTATCTTTTGTAAAGAAAACCATCACTTTATATATAATTAGATAGAAAAGGGCCCTTGTATAAAGTAGAAAGGAAGTGAGATTTCCATTTCAGAATTTTCTCTTGGTTTCAGTACAATCTAAAAGGCGTCTATGTAAAAAATGAAACTGACATGACATACTAAGAAACATGCAAGAAATGTTGTCCAGTATGCACGAATGAAGCCTAATCTGTAATTGACTCGATGAGAATTATTTTGATCCATCAAATCTAATGAGATGAATTGCAAATTATTTTGAATATGCCATTGTTACTGCCATTCTTTAACTTTGCTGTGACATAGTTCCAATGTGACAGTTGTCTTTTTATTTATTTTGAATGTCAGAAACAAAATAATATTTGCTCGTTTGGATGGAACTTTGAATCAACAACAAAGAGAAAAAGTGATCAGTCGGTTTACAGAGGAGAAAGACATTATGGTATTTCATCTGGAAACCAATATACAGTAGCTTCTGTTGTTTGATATGGCTTATAATATGTCTCAGCAACCCTTGTAATTTTTTCTGTAGGTATTATTAATGTCATTGAAAGCTGGCGGTGTTGGAATAAACCTTACTGCTGCATGCAATGCCTTTCTCTTGGTATTTGCTAATCCCTAGTATTTTCTCTGTTGTACGGGGAATGGATTTGTGTGCCTTTAATAGAGAACGAAATTGTGGACATGCATAATGATATGCCCTAGCGATGTTATTTGCTATTTTTCAAAAATTGACATCCTTTTTTTTATTATCTTTTCTCGGACGTTTTGAGTTTGCTAAATTGAATCCATGGACGAGATGCATTGTTTTTACACGAGCTGCTGTTGTATTGTTTTTTTATGCATCTTATAATTATTTATCCTATCATGTTATTTTGTACGTTAAATCCCATCATTTCTGGATTGAAAGTTACAGAATTGGTGTAACTTATCCATCTCACCTTTTGTTTAATTTTCCTTTTGAGGATACGGTTTATGATGCAGGACGGGTAGGGGCTTTGCTAGGGACAAATCTCCTCTCCAATTTTTCTTGACAGCAAGTTCAGATTTCACAAAAAATCTGAGAGGTTTCAGTTTTCTTTCTTGAAAGAGGAGGGAGAACAAGCACCAACTCCTCTTGTAGAACCTGAAAACAGTTTCAGATTCCAAACATCTCTTGCACTTGGAAGAGAAAATAAA